AACAACGAAGTATAATCTTTCGCCCCCTCAGCCAATGCCTATTCTGAATTCTAGCAGCCGACTTACTAACACTAACCTGAATTGGCGGCCAACCCGTTGAATATCCATACATCACTATCGGACAAGCAGCCTCCGTCCTCTATTTCTTAACTATCCTAATCCTTATGCCCATAACTAACCTAATTGAAAGCAAACTACTCAAATGATAGAGTCCTTGTAGTATAACTATTACTTTGGTTTTGTAAACCAAGAATGAAGGAAATCAACCTCCCTAGGACCCACCTCAAGGAAGAGGCTTCACACCCCACCACCAACCCCCAAAGCTGGTATTCTCAATAAACTATTCCCTGCACAGACTCAACCATTCTTATATAATATATCAGTATTAACAAAACCTTACATAACCCTATGTATATCGTGCATTTAATGCCCCTCCCCATGAATATGTATTAGTACTATATATGCATAATCTTACATAGGACATATATGCTTAATCGTACATTAACCTATCTACCCCATGCATATAAGCATGTACAGAAAAGATCAATTCTCCAAGACTAGAAAATCTCAATTAACCAGAACTTGTCCAACACAGGAATATCCAACAAGGATCAACCATTTATGCAGCCAAATGGACAACAGATGCGTCATCAGACATACACCATTTCGATTAAACCAACTCTCTACCACACGACTATCCCCTTCCATTATTACTCGGGTACTACCATCCTCCGTGAAACCAGCAACCTCATCCAATTCGGATCCCTCTTCTCGCTCCGGGCCCATAAAACTTGGGGGTAGCTATCCTGAAACTATATCTGACATCTGGTTCTTACTTCAGGGCCATAACACTTAGAACCGCCCACTCGTTCCTCTTAAATAAGACATCACGATGGTAACGGGCCATTCACCCTCTTTTCCAGTCACGGGAGAATTAAGTGCCTTTGGTATTTTTTAATTTTTAAGGGGGGGGTGTCTTGACTCAGCAAGGCCAGGAGGCCTGGATGTAGACAATTCAATTGTAGACATGCCCAAATTGCGTATTGTATTTCCTCATTGCATATTCATGAGCTGCTATTTAATTCATGCTCGACGGACATAATATATTTACGCACACCACTACGCCCAAATACACGTACGTACACGTGCACGTGCACGTGCACGTACACATACGCGCGTTAAATATAATATATATAGAATTATATACGCAAACCCCCCTACCCCCCGTTACTATATTATTACTAACGCAACTATATACTCCTGCCAAACCCCAAAAACAAGAGAATCACGCCAGCTCATATAGATAACTCACGTATACCTATACCCAATTATATTTTTCGCTTATGTGTATTTTATTGAGTTACAGAGCCATGTCCCTATTGAAGAATGAAATCCCTAACTAAAGTTAAATTTCTCAAATAACATTATTAATTTACTGACTAAATATTCTCTAAATACCTACCTAAATCCTACCCCCTCTACTCTTTTTACTCCTTCAACAGCCTCAACACTAACTAATACTAACATAATACTTTAACCCTATAAATAATATAAGTTAATGTAGCTTACTATTAAAGCAAGGCACTGAAAATGCCTAGACGGGCCCAAGCCCCATAAACACAAAGGTTTGGTCCCAACCTTCTTATTAGTTTCTAGTAAAATTATACATGCAAGTATCCGCCTCCCAGTGAGAATGCCCTCCAAGTCCAATAGACTAAAAGGAGCCGACATCAAGCACACTAACATAGTGGCTCACAACGTCTTGCTCAACCACACCCCCACGGGATACAGCAGTAACAAAATTTAAGCAATAAACGAAAGTTTGACTAAGTTATACTAGATGCACCAGGGTTGGTAAATTTCGTGCCAGCCACCGCGGTCATACGATCAACCCAAACTAATAAATATACGGCGTAAAGCGTGTTTAATCTATACTTAAACTAAAGTTAAATCCCGACTAAGCTGTAAAAAGCTCCAGTCTGACTTAAAATAATCTACGAAAGTGACTTTAATACTTTGAAGACACGACAGCTAAGGTCCAAACTAGGATTAGATACCCCACTATGCTTAGCCATAAACATAAATAAATATAAACAAATTTATTCGCCAGAGTACTACAAGCAACAGCTTAAAACTCAAAGGACTTGGCGGTGCTTCACACCCCTCTAGAGGAGCCTGTTCTATAACCGATAAACCCCGATCAACCTTACCACCTCTTGCTAATTCAGTCTATATACCGCCATCTTCAGCAAACCCTAAAAAGGCTTTAAAGTAAGCACAAGTATAAACATAAAAACGTTAGGTCAAGGTGTAACCTATGAGTGGAAAGCAATGGGCTACATTCTCTACCTTAGAGTATTACGAATATTCTTATGAAAATAAGAATTAAAGGAGGATTTAGTAGTAAATCAAGAATAGAGAGCTTGGTTGAAATAAAGGCCATGAAGCACGCACACACCGCCCGTCACCCTCCTCAAATGCAACTCCCACAACAATCTACATAAAACAAATTATAGCGCATGAGATGAGATAAGTCGTAACAAGGTAAGCATACTGGAAAGTGTGCTTGGAATAGACAAAGTGTAGCTTAAACCACAAAGCACCCGGCTTACACCCGGAAGATTTCACAAATGACCACTTTGAACCTAATCCTAGCCCAATATGAACCAACTAAATTATACTAAATCTCGTAAACCAAAACATTTACCTTCAGCCTTTAAAGTATAGGAGATAGAAATTTATATAGGCGCTATAGACAAAGTACCGCAAGGGAAAGATGAAAGATACCTTATTCTTAAGTACAAAAAAGCAAAGACACTCACTTTTACCTTTTGCATAATGAATTAGCTAGAACAATTTCACAAAGAGAACTGTAGCCAAAAACCCCGAACCCAAACGAGCTACTTGTGAACAGCCACAAGAGCATACTCATCTATGTCGCAAAATAGTGAGAAGATTTATAAGTAGCGGTGAAAAGCCTACCGAGTTTGGTGATAGCTGGTTGTCCAAGATAGAATATAAGTTCAACTTTAAATTTACCTACAGAGTAGATAATCTCCATGTAAATTTAAATGTTATTCTAAAGAGGGACAGCTCTTTAGAAATAGGAAACAACCTTACTTAGAGAGTAATTAAAATCTTTTCTATAGTTGGCCTAAAAGCAGCCACCCATTAAGAAAGCGTCCAAGCTCAACCTACTAAAAGCACTTTAATCTCAAAAACCAAACACAACTCCTATAACCACATTGGACCAATCTATAGATAATAGAAGCAATACTGCTAATATAAGTAACAAGAAATTATTCTCCTCGCACAAGCTTATATCAGACCGGATAATCCGCTGATAGTTAACAACCCAATATAAGCAATTACAAATATATAACTTATTATATCCATTGTTAACCCAACACAGGTGTGCGACCCATCAAAGGAAAGATTAAAAGAGGTAGAAGGAACTCGGCAAAACTTTAAACCCCGCCTGTTTACCAAAAACATCACCTCTAGCATAACTAATATTAGAGGCACTGCCTGCCCAGTGATGTATTTATTAAACGGCCGCGGTATCCTGACCGTGCAGAGGTAGCATAATCACTTGTTCTCTAAATAAGGACTAGTATGAATGGCCCCACGAGGGTTTTACTGTCGCCTTCCTCCAATCAGTGAAATTGACATCTCCGTGAAGAGGCGGAGATATCTCAATAAGACGAGAAGACCCTATGGAGCTTCAATTTAACTACTCAACCAGTACAAAAATAACCTAGTAGGATTAACACTAAACTGAACATGAGTCATAAATTTCGGTTGGGGTGACCTCGGAGCATAAAAAACCCTCCGAATGATAATACCCAAGACTTTACCAGTCTAGGCAAAAAATCATTTATTGACCCAAACTCATTTGAACAACGGAATAAGTTACCCTAGGGATAACAGCGCAATCCTATTACAGAGTCCATATCGACAATAGGGTTTACAACCTCGATGTTGGATCAGGATATCCTAATGGTGCAACCGCTATTAATGGTTCGTTTGTTCAACGATTAAAATCCTACGTGATCTGAGTTCAGACCGGAGCAATCCAGGTCGGTTTCTATCTATTTATTATCTCTCCCAGTACGAAAGGACAAGAAAGATGGGACCTACCTCTACCTGAGGCGTCCCCTATTTAATAGATGAAGTAATCTCAATCTAGTAAATTAATAAATAATCCTACCCAAGAGCAGGATTCGTTAAGATGGCAGAGCCCGGTAATTGCATAAAATTAATAATATGACCACCTTTGGTCAAGGAATTTGTGAGCTGCAAATGTCTAAGTTTGTGAGTTGCCAAATGTCTAACAAGTCTCTTGCAGGAAACTCCCCACCAGGGTTGGCCTAGTCAGCCCTTTGTAACCCACGTGATGCAGATAAATGCCACCAAGGTAGCAGTCATGTGGCTGGCCCACCCATCGGCCTGCTGTCCATCGCCTGACGCCAGTGCCTGCGCGTGCCTGCCCCTTTGTGATGATGTGGAGCGGTCTACCACCCAATCACCTTGATGATCTTCCCCCATCTAGGGGAATGGTTAAAAGGACTCAACCACAAGCAGTCAACGACCATTGCCTTGCTAGACGCTGGTGTGCTGTGTGTGCTCTTTGAGCTATGGCAGTTGCCATGCTTCCTGGCTTTGGCCCCCTCCTCACCTTGGGGAGGTAAATCTTCTCTCTCCCTTCTCTTTCTCTAATTTACTTTTAACTAAACCTTTCTTAACCTTTTTATGTGTTGCAATTCTTTGCATCCCCTCTCCACCTCTCCATCCACCCTCACCCTGCCCGTACCCTAACATCTAGACCTAGACTTGTAATCTTTCTCTTCCATTTCACACCTCATCTTCAAAAATCATCATGCTGGACCATTGGATGTGTTTAAAAACACAAACACTAATAAAATATAAAATGTTAGAGCGAAATAATGGCCATATGAGAAACATTACCAAAAATGTGAAATGTTCAGGACATAACCGATTTCTAACCTATAAAGTCCACACTTCAGTTATGTTGCTCATGACTAAGTGACAGGAATGCCCGTAATACTATAAGGGATAATGTAAGAAATAGAATGATTTATTTTCAAAACAAACCCTGAGCCATGTTTAAATGCCTTTGCTGAGTCACTTCCTGTTCTTTGTGATTCCTTTTCTCAGGCGGTTTACTTTGGCAGCCTACGTGTTTACACTTTTGGCAGAATCTAATCAGAATAGTAATTCTGTAAGCCAATCAGCAAATAGGACATGCAAATGAGATAACTCTGTAAAGTCAGTCAACATGTAACATGTAGGCGTCCTACAACAAAGCATGTAACTCCTGCAAGTATTCCTCCAAGGAGTGACCAGGAGAGGAAAGGGCATTATAGGAATAAAAGTGCTGATTCTTCCAGCTTTAGTGTGCCTGCCTACCCAGACACCCAAGTGACTGCCATTAAAGTCTTGCTTCTGCTGCGTTCCATGTCTCAGTGTCCATTCTTTGATTTTGGACAGGTCAGTTATTTTGTTCTTCACAATAAGAAGGCAGAACTGAGAATACTATCATAAAGTACCTGCACTAACAGTGAAGCAATATAGTGTTACTTTGAAGTGGATTTGAATTACCTAGAAATGTAGGTTAAAAATTTTAAGGAAACCACGCAAATTTTTTTAGATTTGTAATTAATGTGCTAAGAGAAGAGAAAAAATGGAATCATATACAATGTTCCATTAAAACCAGAGAAGGCAAAAAGTGTGGAAAACAAAAAACAGAGAACAAGGACCAAAAAATATACAAATATGGTAGGTATCACTCCAACTATATCAATATTCACTTTAGATATGAATGGCCTAAGTAAATTAATTTTAAAAGACTCAGAGTGGATTTAAAAAAACTAAATTTTGTAAAATTTCTTTATTTATTTTGAGTAGGAGTCTCACTCCAACGCCCAGGTTGGAGTACAGTGGCAGGATCACGGCCACCACAGCCTCGGCTCACTGGGCTCAGGCAATCCTTCCACCTCAGTCTTCCAAGTAGCTGAAACTACAGGCGTGCGCCACCATGCCTAGCTAATTTTTTGTTTTTTTGTAGAGATGAGTTCTTACCAAGTTGCCCAGGTTGGCCTCAAACCCCTGGACTCAGGCAATCCCTTCGTCTCCACTTCCCAAAGTTCTGGGATTATAGGTACAAGCCACTACACCCGATTAAATTTTGTTTTAAAGAACACATTAATAAATGTAAAGACACAGACAGAATAAAAGTAAAGAATTATATTAGTATATGCTATGCTAATACTAATTAAAAGAAAACTAGAGTCTATATTAATTTCAGACACCAGAACTTAGTGCAAGGAAAATCATCAGGGACAGAGGAAATTACATAATGACAAAAAAAACTCTAAGAAAACATAATAATCATAACATAAGTGTGTGCACCTAACAACCGAATGTCAAAATACATGAGGCAAAAATGATCAAACTGCAAGGTGAAACAGATGAAGCCTCCGTTATACTTGGAGGCTTCAACACCTTCTACCAATAGTTGACAGATCCAGGAGACATGAAATCAGTAATTACGTAGTTGAAGTGAACAGCACCATCGATCAACTAGATCTAATTGACATTGATAAAATGCTTCATCCAACAGAATACACATTCTTCTCAAGCTCACATGGAATATTTACCAAGAGAGATCAAATTCCGGGTCATAAAACAAACACTAACAAACTTGAAAGAACAGACCTTGTACAAAGTATGCTATCAGATGACTGTGGGATTAAATTAGAACTCAATCACAGAAAGATAGTTGGAAAATCCAAAAACATTCGGCAATTAAACTACACACTTCTAAATAACACATGTATCAGAGAAGTCGTCTCAAGAGATGAGAAATACTAAAATATCTGAAGTCAATGAGCTGGGCTCAGTGGCTCACTCCTATAATCCCAGCACTTTGGGAGGTTTAGGCGGGAGGATTGCTTGAGCCCAGGAGTTTGAGATCAGACTGAAAGGGTTTAGTCTTTTTACCTCAGCATAACCATTAGAAAGCAGTTCAGACAGTCTACTGCAAAACAAGCCCCACCATGGCAGCAATCATGTGATTAACTCACCCACCTGCCTGCTGTCCATCACCTGACGTTAGTACCGGCCCTTGCCTGCCTCTTCATGATGAGGTGGAGCAGACCACCACTCAATCACCTTAATGCTCTTCCCCCATCAAGGGGAGTGGTTAAAGGACTGAACCACAGGCAACCAGCCGCCATCGCCTTGCTAGAGTCTGATGTGGCCATGTGCTGCTTGAGCTATGGCTGTCGCCACACTTCCTGGCTTTGGTCCCCTCCCCAAACTTGGGGAGGTGAATCTTCTCTCTTCCTTCTCTTTCTCCCTCTAATTTACTTTTAAATAACCTTTTTTTTTTTTGTTTTTTTGAGTTGGAGTCTCACTCTGTCGCCCAGACTGGAATGCAGTGGCCACTCCCGGCCACCGCAGCCTCGACCTGCTGGGCTCCGGCGATCCTTCCGCCTCAGCCTTCCAAGTAGCCGGAATTACAGGCACGCACTACCACGCCCGGCTGATTTTTTGATTTATTGTAGAGATGAGGTCTCGCTGCCCAGGCGGGTCTCGAACCTGCGGGCTCAGGCAATCCACTCACCTCAGCCTCCCCAAGGCGCAGGATGACAGGCTGAGCCACCGAGCCCGGCTACCTTTTTCTTTTCTTAACCTCTTTGTGTGTTGCAATTCTTTACATTTAACTCGGATCTCTGGGTTACCAGTGCCACACCTCCCCTCCCCTCTTTCTCTCTCCATTCACCCTCACCCTGTCCGTACCCTAACACAGATGAGGCAACATAAATAGACCTTGTCTCCACAAAAAATTTCAAAAATTAGCCAGGCGTGGTGGCACATGCCTGTAGTTCCAGCTACTTGGAAGGCTGAGGTGAAGGGATCACTTACCAGGAGTTCAAGGCTGCCATGAGCCATGCTTGTGTCACAGCAATGCAGCCTGGGTAACAGAAGGAAACCCTGATTAAAAAAATATATTGGAAGGCTGAGGCGAAGGATCGCTGGAGCCCAGCAGGTCGAGGCTGCGGTGGCCGGGAGCATGCCACGGCACTCTAGTCTGGGTGACAGAGTGAGACTCCAACTAAAAAAAAAAAGTAATAATAATAATAATAAAGTCAATGAAAATGAAATTATAACTTATTAAAATGTTAAATGCAGTGAAAGCAGTGGTTCGAGGAAAATTTATACCATTAAATACATACTTGTACATTGGGAAATAAGAAATACCTAAAATTAACCATCTAAGCTTATACCTCAGGAAACTTAAAAAAAAAGGAGAAAATTAAATTAAGAATAAGAAGAGAAATTATAAAAATTAGAGCAGAAAACATTGCAATGGACAACAGTAAATCAATAGAAAACGAATCAATGAACCAAAAGCTGGTTCTTTGCAAAGCTGGGGGTTCTTTACTTTGCAAAGTAAAATATATAAACCTTTAGTCAGGCTAGCCAAAAGAAAAGAGAGAGAGAAAGGGAAGACATAAATTACAAATATCAGAAATGAAAGACGGAACATTAAAAGGATAATAAAGGGGCAGGCTCGGTGGCTCAGCTTGTAATCCCAGAACTTTGGGAGGCCTAGATGTGTGGATTGCCTGAGCCCGAGGGTTCGAGACCACCCGGGCAACTTGGTGAGACCTCATCTCTACAATTAAAAAAAAAAAAAATTAGCCTGATGTGGTAGCATGTGCCTGTAGTTCTGGCTATTTGGAAGGCTGAGGCAGAAGGATCACCGGAGTCCAGCAAGTTGAGACTTCAGTGGCCAGAAGTGTGCCACTGCACCCCGGTCTGGGCGACAGAGTAAGACTCCAACTCAAAAAAAAAAAAGAAGAAGAAGAAAGAAACCTTATAAATAATACCCACAAATTTGATAGCCTAAATGAAATGAACCAATTCCTTAAAAGACACAATCTAGCTGGGTGCAGTGGCTCAAGCCTGTAATCCCAGCTCTTTGGGACAGTGAGGCAAGAGGATTGCCTAAGCCCGTGGGTTTGAGAACAGCCTGGGTAACATGATGAGACCTTGTCTCTACAATAAATCAAAAAATTAGTCGGGTGTAGTAGCACATGTCTGTAGTTCTGGCTATTTGGAAAGCTGAGATGGAAGGATTGCCTGAGCCCAGCAGGTCGATGCTGTGGTGGCCCTGAGCATGCCACTGCATTCCAGCCTGGGCAATGTGTTGAAACACCAACTCAAAAAAACAACAAAAAAAGACACAATCTACCAAAACTCACACAAAAAGAAATAACAATATGAATATCACCTATCTATTAAGGAAGTTGAATCAATAATTAATTTCCCAAGTTCTACCAAATATTTAAGGAAGAAATTATACCAGTTATCTATGTCTCTTCCAGAAAATAGAAGCAAAAGGAATACTTCCTAACTTATTCTTTGAGGCCAGCATTACCAGGAAAAAAAAAAAAAAAAAAACAGACCAATATTGCTCATAAACATAAATGCAAAAATGTCCAACAAAATATTAAGAAATTAAGTCCAACAATGTAAAAAGAATTATATACCACAACCAAGAGGCATTTATTTCAAGTATGCAAAGCTAATTCAACGTTCAAAAATCAATTGATATACTACACTTGATCTTAGCCAAAAGATTGAGACACAATCAATTAATGTAATTTATTACATCAACATGTTGAAGAGAAAAATCACATGATCAAATGCAAAAAGGTATTTGACAAAAAAACACTCAACAAATAAGGAATACTTCTGCAATCTGATAAAGAACATCTACAAAAAACCCTCCAGCTAATATCATACTTACTGGTGATGATTTCCTCCTAAGATTAGGAACTAGGCAAAGGGGTCTCCTCTTCCTAGTCTTATCCAACATCATTCTGAAAGTCATAGCTAATGCAATAAGACAAGAAAAGGAAATAAAGGCATACAGATCAAGAAAGAAGAAACAAAACTGTCTTTGTTTGCAGAGGATATTATTGTCTATGTAAAACGTTTCAAAAAATTGACAAACAAAACAACTAACTCTTGAAACTTATAGACAATTAGAGCAAGGTTATAGTATATAAGGTTAATATATAAAAGATAACTGCTCTTCTATATAGCAGGATTGACCTATTGGAAGTTGAGATTAAAACACAACACTTAGAGAAACACTTAGGTGTAAATTTGGCAAAATATGTACAAGAGCTATATAAAGAAAACTACAAAACTATCATGAAAAAATCATAGATAGGAAACTCAATATTGTTAAAATGTCAGTTCTTCAAAACCTGATTTATAAATTCAATGTAATTTCAATAAAAGTTATAACAAGCTAGTTTATGGATATTAGCAAACAGATTCTAACATTTATATGGAAAAGTAAAAGACCCAGAAGAGTCACATAATCCAGAGGAGAAAAACAAAGTGAGAGGACTGACACTACAAAACTACAAGACATTGTAAAACGACAGCAATCAAGACAATGTAAAACACTGGTGAAAGAATCAATGGAACAAAGTAGAGAGCCCAGAAATAAACATACACAAATATAGGCAACTGATTTTTGACAAAAGAGCAAAGTTAATTCAATGGGGAAAGGGTAGTCTTTTCAACAAATGATGATAAAACCACCAGTCACATGGAACAAAATTAATTTAGAGACATACATTACACCTTTCACAAAAATTAATTCGAAATAGATTATAGGCCTAAACTATAAAACTTTGAATGCAAGATGTGAATAATAGGGGAAGCAGGGAAGGGGAGGTGGGGAGATAGAAAGAGGGAACTCTCTACTTTCTGCTCATTTTCCATAAACTGAAAACTGCTTTAAAAAATAAAGCTTATCAATTATTTTTTATTTTTATTTCTTGATTTTGAGTCAGGATCTTCGCTATCACCTAAGCTGGAGTGCAGTGACATGCTCATAGCTCACCTCAGCCTCAACCTCAGGCTCAGGCAATCCTTCTACCTTAACCTCCTATGTAGCCGGGATCACCACAGGCGCACACCACCACACCTGGCTAATTTTTTATTTTTGTAGAGACGAGGTCTTGCTATCTGGCCTAGGCTATTGTGTCTCCCAGCACTTTGGGAGGTCGAGGTGGGAGGATTGCCTTCCAAAGTGTTGAGATTACAGGTGTGAGCTACCATGCCCAGCCTATCAATTTTTTAAAATTCTGTCTGCAAAGTTGATTTTGTTTTGTTTTTGTTTTTGTTTTTGTTTTTGAGTTGGAGTCTCACTCGGTCGCCCAGACTGGAGTGCAGTGGCCGCTCCCGGCCACCGCAGCCTTGACCTGCTGGGCTCCAGCGATCCTTCCGCCTCAGCCTTCTGAGTAGCTGGAATTACAGGCATGCGCTACCACACCTGGCTGATTTTTTGATTTATTGTAGAGATGAGGTCTCGCTGCCCAGGTGGGTCTCGAACCCACGGGCTCAGGCAATCCACTCACCTTGGCCTCCCAAAGGCGCGGGATTATAGGCTGAGCCACCGAGCCCGGTTTGCAAAGTTGATTTTAAAAAGCAAACAACTTTTAAACAGAATTTTCTAAACTACTTAGAAGTTTTCCAGAGTACATTAAATGTGCATTTATTTATTACATAAATGTACTATATTCTGATTAGTTTACAGGAGCAATTGATTATCATTAGAGAAGATGAAATTTTACTGGATATTCTCAGCAAAAAGTTTTACATGGCTGTTAGATGAGATTGAAAAGATAAATAACTTAGAAGTAAATATCTTTGAGATTTTTTTTCAGTTATAGTAGACATTAAATGAAAACTCAAAGTCACTGCAATATATAATGTTAAATCCATAGTCTAGCTGACATTTATTGTCACTATATACCAGGCCCAGCTATGAGCACTTTATATGTATTGTGATATGTTATCCCTATAAAAACCCAACAGGTAGATACTATGTTCATTCTGCTTTACAGATGAAACTGAACCAAAGAGAGAAAGCAAGGGAGAGAGAGAAATAATAAAAAAAAAGATTAGGTAACTTCATTAAGATCACATAGACTCTAAGTAGACTAGCTGAGTCTTGGATATCAATAGTTTTGCTCCAAAACTTATTAATATGTAATAACATTATATTAAGTATAAATGGGAAATTAAAAGGCAGAGGTTATCAGATTGAATTTTTAAAAAACAAGAACCAATTAAATGCCATTTGTAGGAGTTGCACTATACATTTAAGTATATGAGGCCCAGTGCAGTGGTTCATGCCTGTGATCCTAGCCCTTTGGGAGGCTAAGGTGGAAGGATCACTTGAGGCCAGGAGTTCAGGACCAGCCTGGGCAACATAGAGTATGAACCGAAATAAAGGGGACCATTTTAATGATAAGAGGATCAATCAAGACATAACCCTTGCAAATGTATATGGAGCTAGTAATAAAGTTTCAAAATATATAGAAAGCAAAAACTACAAAACTAAAGGGAGAAACAGACAGACTCAAAACTACGTTTGAAGAATTTAACACTCTTCTCTCAGTAATTGATAGAACAAGTCTGTAAAAAAACAAGAGATAAGCCGGGCTCAGTGGCTCAGCCTGTAATCCCAGCACTTTGGGAGGCTGAGGTGAGTGAATTGCCTGAGTCCGCGGGTTCGAGACCTGCTTGGGCAACTTGGTGAGACCTCATCTCTACAATAAAATCAAAAATTAGCTGGGCGTGGTAGTGCACGCCTGTAGTTCCAGCTACTTGGAAGGCTGAGGCGGAAGGATAGCCGGAGCCCAGCAGGTTGAGGCTGCGGTGGCCGGAAGCGGCCACTGCACTCCAGTCTGGGTGACAGAGTGAGACTCCAACTAAAAAAAAAAACAACAAAAAAAACCCCAAGAGATTTCAGCAACACTATTGAGCAATTTGAACTAACTGATGTTTATAAAATAACAAACACAGAATATACATTCTTTTAATGTGGAAACCATAAGGAATGTTTTGCACATGTTTATTTATTTATTTTGTTTTTCTTTTGTTTGTTTTTTTTGAGTTGGAGCCTCATTCTGTCACCCAGGTTGGAGTGCAGTGGCATGCTCCCGGGTCACCCCAGTATTGACCTACCACGCTCTGGCGATACTTCTGCCTCAGCCTTCCAAGTACCTGGAACTACAGGCATGCACCACCACACCTGGCTAATTTTGGATTTATTGTAGAGACGAGGTCTTGCCAAGTTGTCCGTGTGGGTCTTGAACTTGCGGGCTCAGGCAATTCACTCGCCTCGGCCTCCCAAAGTGCTGGGATGACAGGCTGAGCCACTGAGCCTAGTTGCCTATTTTTTATAATAACAAAACATTGGAAGCACAATTGAAGAATGGATGAATAGTGGCTTTTCTTTTTTTTTTTTTTTTTTTTTT